AGTAAAATAAAAAGTATAAACAATAGTTTTTCTCATCATAATACAAGTAGTCTATTTTTATACTCCTTGTTAGCGCACGATGATGCAATTAATGAAATAATTGGTGATTATTTTACAAGAGTTCATAATATTACCAAAGAGTTGTTAAACATAATTGACGTTAAATCATGTTATGCTATTAAGTATACTACTTAGTGATTGTTAAAATTAGATTGTAAGTATTGTTTTGCCATGCATGTACATGAATGTTTTATTTGTTATTTGCTTTATTGGACTAACCTCTCGATGTACATTACACGTTCAAGAGACCAATAAACTTATTAATAATTAATAATAAATTCTTTCGTATTCGGGGATTCCATTAGCCATCCTATATGGTCATACAAACCTTATATAGATCTATCACATTATATTCAAAATGGCGGACAACGGTCAGTTGGATTCCTGTATGGTCATGTAAGCCTTATATGGATCTAGGACATGAGTACTATGTGATCGAATACGAAGGCTGAACTTTGGGAGATCCCCCCCCCCTGGCAAATAGTATGAACCATCCTGTATGTCGTTTTCAAAGACATCAGCTGTAACCTCTGTTTTTCAATACAGTAAGCAGATCACTTGTCTTCTTTATTATAACATGCAATATCATTAAACCCGATGATGTATGCAAGAAGTAGTGCAATGATGGCCAATATGCCTATGGTCAGAATGAATCATTTTAAGGTGTGACATGAAGAATATAATGTCACATAACACTTTGGAGATTAATTACGCCTTTGGACTCACATGGGCTGGGGTTGAGGTCACTAAGTTCATTAAGGGTGTACAAGTATTGATTTGACATGGGATGTGCTCCATTGATTTAACATGAGGATATTTAAAATGAGTAGGTTATGTGAGTAGATACACGATGGGATCGTTATTCTGCGAGGATCAACCGAAACGTAAACATAAACCTAAACATACCTCTTTCCGCTTTCGAAAGTCCAAAGATTTTGATCTGGGTTTTAACGGTGTCATGTCAATCAACTAAAGTTTTCATATCTATGTTAACGAACACTCTGGTAAGGCTTGTATGCCAGATGAGTTTCGAATTTGTATATACCTATATGTAAAGTTCTCATGGTGAGATAACCTGTTTCCTGTTTGCATTGAATAGGATGATAATGATTGGGATTATTGACAAATCAGAGCTTAAGAATATAGTTTGCAATTTTGTTTGAATCTCAAAAGTATGGCTTTTAATGAGTTGAGTTGAGAGTAAACATACATGTATTTATGTGTGTTTTGTCCTAGCGTTTCGACAAAGACACCCAGTTTTGGGTTTTAAGATATCTATTATATCTGAAATTACTTGATGCTTATGTAAAAACTGTTTCTAGAATTGCACTAAGTTTTGGTGCTTTAAGAAAATAAATGTTTTACTAATAACACTTGCAATGTTTAGATATTTGTATTTTATACTTTAATAGCTGTTAGTATTTCGATTTACATTTGAAGAATTATACTTGCACTTTTGTTGCAATAAGAAATTAGTTAAAGATGGTTTACAAAGCATGCGGATTTTCAAGATATAATATCTAGTTCATTATAATATATTTTATCGGATTTTAGCGTCCGGTCGTGTATTTTTGTGATAATCACGGCATGTTTGTATAAATTATGAGCAACAATGTCGCATTTCGACGATAGTGTATTATATTAAGGAATTAAGTTCCATTAACTTCATAGTTTCGCTTTTTGCAAAAGAGCTTTGTAATTTTCACAGCACAAGTTTGCAGACTGTGATTTAGAATAATACATAATAGTGTAAATTTTGTATTAGACAGCGAGGTATATTATCCTTGCTTTTGGATATTGCCAGAGTTGCACAGTCTTTATGCAACTATGTTTAAATTGACGGATAATGTCACATTTTAAGATTTGATTTATTTCGAATTTATTTGTATTCTTGGCTGGATTTTGACGTTTTAAGAAACGTGTAGCCGCAATGGATTTAATGATAATAATTGATCATTACGTTTGGGTTGTTTTGATTTAGATGTTTTAAGTTGAAATATTTACAAACACAGTGATACGACGTCAGATACTGTACATCATGGTATTTTACTGCTTTTTTACATGCTTACTTACTTTTAGAACCGCGATATCTCCACAGCAAAATCATATTTTTATACAATTTTTCGTCATCAGTTGAACATGCCAATGAAATATTTTGCCTATCGGAATTCCAAATAATTGATTTTGGGACTTTTTAAATGAGAATCACGCAAGCCGTATGATGTGACTTTCTCTGCTAAAGCCGGATGTGGACTGTAACATTTTGAAGAAAAATAATTTTAATTTTGTCATTTCTTGACGAATCTTTCTCAAATTTTCACAATATTTAAATTCTCCATTTTGAAAAAAACACAGATTCTGTGTGATGACGCCATAATATAACAATGCTAAATGCCAAAAAGTGTGGACAGGCAAAATATCGTACCAACAAGATATCTATTTTGATCAATTAAACATTTAATCGTTTGAAATGTGAATTTTTTTCCTCAAAGGCATACCACATTCTATATTTTTATGAAAAAACTATATAATTTCGATTAAAATTCAGTCTGTAATTAAGAAGTATAAATTGAAAGAAATATGAAGTGAAGTCATGTGGAAAATTAACAAAATTACGTTTAATTTTTTTGTGTTCAAATACCTCTAATTGAGGGATAAACACTCAAAACGTTCTAATGTTTCAGCATGTTCTTTTAAATATACCCCTCCCTACATACAATTAATTTCATTCAATTTGAACTATATTGAGATAGACATCATTTTATCACCGCAACCCCAAGTGAAGCCTTTACAAAATAAGACGTTGCGCCCTTAGGGTATTAAATGTTCTCCTTTGTTATTCATTGCTTTAAATAAATTAAACTAAATATTCGAGTTAAAATAAATTACAAATAACACATTTGTCAAGTTGTCAGGTTCAATAAAACTAATAAATGAACTTAAGTGTCTGATTTCATTAAACAGATTACTATATTGTATTTATAATCACAAATCATTAATTACAAAAATAGACAAAGTATACTAATACTACACAAAACTGGACGGCTGATGCTGCAAAACGTGCACACTGGATACGTGGAAGGTTACTGGGCTTATGCTGTACGTAGACGGACGTTATGGTAGATGATACTATACACGTGAACTATCGAGAGTCTAATATCACGTTCACCACGTGAAGATACTGGCTGGACGTGTTGGTAGACTTCTTACTCGAGTCGGTTTATATTCACTTCGACGTTACTGGATAAGAGTCTATGAATGTGATACTAGTCACTTGGCTTTATGCTGTACGTAGACAGACGTTATAGTAGATAATTCATTGCACGTGAATTAACGAGAGTCTAATATCACGTTCACCACGTGAGGATACAGGCTGGACGTGTTGGTAGACATCTTACACTAGTCCAATATTACATTGATACAACTCAGACACAGTTTATAGACGCACGAGACGATACAAGGAGACAGTCTGTGCACATACGCAGATACATTTCTCGTTGACAGCTACATACTACACCAAAACTATAAAAAATTGATAATAAACCTATCTAAGACACACGTTTCTAGAATATATGAAATATAATATTTTCAACTAGTTCCCTAAACTGGTACAGATAACCAATGGATGCTAAGAATAATATGCCATATAAGTGAACACCGAATACAAGAAAATTATAATTATCTTGAACAATATAACTTATCCTTGTACAATATAACTTATCCTTGTACAATATAACTTATCCTTGGACAATTTAGCAATTACAATAAATAAACACAAAGGAAATATTGTAATGAATATATACTAAATAAATACCTCAGTATGTTTCACAAGTGTTGACCACATATTGTACAAAGTCACGCCACGTGTTATGACAAGGTAGATGACATCGACTACACGTACATGTTGACACTTGACTTCACAGGAAAACGCACAACAGATAAACGTGGTTCACAAATGCAAAGGTATTTATATGAGTGGAAGTGAGTGAAATAGTGAATGAAATACTAAGGAAATGGAATGATGCCAATTGATTTATATACTTATGAATACTACCTGTAGAGTATATTGAATGATAAAACTCGCGTTTGACTGAAACGCTAACCATACTTGACAATACTCCCAACGATAAGATTTCACTTAAAAATCCAATTTTTAAAAATATGAAATCTCACTAGCGTGAAGGAATACGTGTTTAAGTAAAATATGAAAGTTTACAACACATAATGAAGTAATGTAACAATGAGTATACAATGCTTAGTATACACCTAACGTTTTTCAAACTAATGCACATGGAAACTAACCTGTTGATTAATAAATGTGACACTGAGTAGACATAAAATAACATTAAATATGACCAAATAATCTAAAGTTGAAATGTCAACTTTTTACATACATTACGTGTTCATGCAACATCTTAATGCAACATTTTACAAACTACTTTTTACTAGTACTACATTTTACAAGTACGAGTTACTGCTACGAGTTACTACTACAAGTTACTACTAATCTTAAAGTAATACTCTACTGGTACTCCAAGACATTACAATGACTACTCATTTCAAAAATCTTGACACTTGTCTGTCTTACTTAACAAAGTATTAAAGTAAGTTTTCACAAATCTTATCAATTGTATACACGTGAGATACTACACGACTAAGATGCATACAGGATCTACAAAATCAAATACGCAGAATGAGGCTGGTACGTCTCACACACTTGTAGGTCACGTGGTCACTGGGATGATGCACAGTCACACCGATCGATCGAGCGATCCGAGATGGTCAGTTCCCACACAGTCAGTACCAAGAATTCTACACCATACAGATACCCCCGAGAGTGGCGAGGTGCTGTTAAGATATGATGACTTGAAATATCTTTCCATAATTTTGTTTGCCTTTTGGTAATATTCGTTGTTCTTACTTGATCTCTTCACGTCTAGTATTTTAGGAAGATCACGTATCTTTCTCAGTGACTTGTCAAAATTTTGTTCTAGTAAATCTACAGACTTGGTAACGCCTGTAAACGGTTTTACTAACAATGGTTCTATTTGCAATATATTACAAGTAACTTCTACAAACGAATTGAGTTTAATACTCTTGTCGTGCCCGTAATTTTGATGTGAATGTTTGTTAGTTTCCGTAACAATACTTGACTGAGTAGATATATTTGGATAAATTTCCTTCGAACAGTTGGCATGTTGTTGACAATCCTTCTCAAATTCTGTCTTTGGCTTTACCTCACTTGATTGAGCATAAGCAGATGTGTTGTGTTTTATAATCGCGTTGTGTTTTGCGTTATATTGATTATTCACGTCACGTTCGGTTTTTGATAGAACTAATTGATCTGATGGAGTTATGGAGCTTTGATCAATTACATTGACTTTTTCGCTTTCACGTTGGAATTGATTGTTCGCGTCACGTTTGGTTTTTTGTTGCATCGATTGATCGGATGGAGTAATGGAGCAAAGATCAATACAGCTGTTATGTTCGCATTCATTTTGAAATTGCTTGTTGATGTCACGTTCGGTATTTGACTGTGTCAATTGATCAGATGGCAAAATGGAGCATGGATCAATAACGTTGTCTTTTTCGTCACAATTGTTATTTGAATATTTTGATTCCCATCCTCGAGAAATGCTATATTTCTCAAAACGTCTACTGTGAGGATCAAAATTATCTTTGATTTCTCTGAACTGCGGTAATGTTGGAGCTTTTGTACTGCTATTTGAACTGCTTGTTACATTACCAAGTTCTGCTTTGGTTTTTGCAATTCCAAGATTGATTTTAAGTTGATTTAGCTTTTCTCTTTCAATTCTTGAAATTCGTTTGAGTTCTGCGATTCTGAGTTTTTGTTCAATCTCAATACGCTCTTGTTCTCTTTGTATATCGCGTTCATTTCGTTCGTATTCACGTTCGCGTTCTTTTTCAAAACGTTCACGCTCTTTTTCGACGTATTGAATTAGATTATCGCCAACAAATCCTATGCTTTTCCAGCGTCAATGAATTTCATTATGTCATATGATTGTTCCATTTTGAAATTTATGTATATTTAATGCGCAAGATGTTAAAGCACATGAATTTGTAGCTATGAAGTATCTACGAGTTGTTAAGATAACTGGCTACTACCTTTACGTGATATTACTAATACACGATTTACTTTACTATTCGCGAAATTAATCACAATTTACTGCAAGTGTTTATGAACACGATTTACTGCACGCGTATATGAACACGATTTACTGCAAGTGTTTATGAACACGATTTACTACACTACTACTTTACGCGATCTAAATCACGATTTACTGTACGTGCTAATATACACGATTTACTGCTTTACTACTACTGTACGCGATTTAATCACGATTTACTGTACGTGTTTACAAACACGATTTACTACTTTACACGTGGTTAGAATCACGAATTTACTACTTTACACGTGGTTAGAATCACGAGTTTACTACTTTACACGTGGTTACTAACACAATTTACTTACACATGATTCTGAAACCCAATGTAATGATCTGTTGTACACTTACTAACATATACGAACATACCGAGTTTGGATAAAAATGACACATACTATTAACAAACTGATGATTTGATGGTCAAAAGGAATTGTACTTTGGAGTAGGAATTAAATGACGGATATGTAACAAAGTCTCATTCACTGTAGGTGTAGAGACTAAAACCCTTAACTAATAAGACCTACTAACAGTGTGGAGACAACTCAAATCGACCAAGGACTGTACATCAGCGCAGCAACCAGACGCATACGTTTGTTCGAAACGTCCAAGCCTCAACAGCGCACGATTCTGTATACCCTCAGCAAGATGCGGTGTATAGTGAAACTTCTTAACTGGAAGGTAAAAATACAGCTGTATACAAGGTTCTCGGATTTAAATTAAATGACTGTGATACAATAAATTAATCGAAGGTAATACAATAAGCTACTGAATACAAAAAGCTAATAAATGGTGATACAATAAGCTAATTAATTAGTTGTATGTGATAAAAGATACGGACGAGCCCCCATTGTCAAGTTGTCAGGTTCAATAAAACTAATAAATGAACTTAAGTGTCTGATTTCATTAAACAGATTACTATATTGTATTTATAATCACAAATCATTAATTACAAAAATAGACAAAGTATACTAATACTACACAAAACTGGACGGCTGATGCTGCAAAACGTGCACACTGGATACGTGGAAGGTTACTGGGCTTATGCTGTACGTAGACGGACGTTATGGTAGATGATACTATACACGTGAACTATCGAGAGTCTAATATCACGTTCACCACGTGAAGATACTGGCTGGACGTGTTGGTAGACTTCTTACTCGAGTCGGTTAATATTCACTTCGACGTTACTGGATAAGAGTCTATGAATGTGATAATAGTCACTTGGTTTTATGCTGTACGTAGACAGACGTTATAGTAGATAATTCATTGCACGTGAATTAACGAGAGTCTAATATCACGTTCACCACGTGAGGATACAGGCTGGACGTGTTGGTAGACATCTTACACTAGTCCAATATTACATTGATACAACTCAGACACAGTTTATAGACGCACGAGACGATACAAGGAGACAGTCTGTGCACATACGCAGATACATTTCTCGTTGACAGCTACATACTACACCAAAACTATAAAAAATGGATAATAAACCTATCTAAGACACACGTTTCTAGAATATATGAAATATAATATTTTCAACTAGTTCCCTAAACTGGTACAGATACCAATGGATGCTAAGAATAATATGCCATATAAGTGAACACCGAATACAAGAAAATTATAATTATCTTGAACAATATAACTTATCCTTGTACAATATAACTTATCCTTGTACAATATAACTTATCCTTGGACAATTTAGCAATTACAATAAATAAACACAAAGGAAATATTGTAATGAATATATACTAAATAAATACCTCAGTATGTTTCACAAGTGTTGACCACATATTGTACAAAGTCACGCCACGTGTTATGACAAGGTAGATGACATCGACTACACGTACATGTTGACACTTGACTTCACAGGAAAACGCACAACAGATAATCGTGGTTCACAAATGCAAAGGTATTTATATGAGTGGAAGTGAGTGAAATAGTGAATGAAATACTAAGGAAATGGAATGATGCCAATTGATTTATATACTTATGAATACTACCTGTAGAGTATATTGAATGATAAAACTCGCGTTTGACTGAAACGCTAACCATACTTGACAACATTTAACAATCCTTAATATTTTCTCTCATCTGTGTATATCAGTTGAATATGACAAGGGGCTCTGTGAAAGAGTCTAGAAAGACGGTGCGACAACGAGAGCGCTTGCATGGCCGAAAAGCGTGACAAAGAAAAAGGCGGGTAGGGTTTGAAATGTCTACTTCCTGGTGATTCTAATACTTCTGTATATCGTGACACAACCTTTTTGAATATAGAATTGTATTGAAGCGCACATTAATCTGAACAAAACTTGAAGTTTTTAGAAGATTCTACGAATATTAAAACTTTTGCAATTACTGGGAGGAGCATTGCGCATATTTATCGCGTAAATATTTGCATACTGTCGGTAAAATGAACAATTACAATGTTACGCCGTGATGTACAGTATCTGACGTCGTATCAGTGCATTATTGATGTCTTGAAGACATTTAACATTGTAAATCAGCAACGAGGTTGGGAGTCGAGGAGGGATGTTGGGTATATCTAAACCTTGGAGGTTTTTTGGCATTATTGCCATCGGCATTGTGTCCGATATAACATTGCATCGTGGCCGTTATAGATACCCGGAGGCATCGCGGACTGGCTATATTTTTCTTTTTTTCTCATAATTTGTATCAGATGTACTTATGCTAAACTAATAAACGCGGGCTGCTGGCTCGAACTTAATCTAGTAATATATGTGATATTATGTTGTGTGGTTTGTGGTGAATACTGTTTAATTAAGAAATAACATCATATCCCAATAGAAGCCATTGGTTTCCATTCATAATCACAAACTTACCAATGATACACTATGGCCTGAGACGATTACAAATTAAACATTTCACAACATGTCACAAATGGTATATCTCATCAAATGTGCAAATATGACGTTTGCAATCGATTCAAGTCATACTTTAAATTACAAGATTTCATCATTTTTCCTTACAAAATGGCTACAGAAAAATGCTCCAAAGGCTAGTTTTACACTTATCATTTTGTAAGTCCAAAGATTATACTATTTTGTTTCAGTAATTAATAAGATATGTGAATAAGATGTAAGGATACGTAGGATGCAAATGGATTTTGATAGACACTTGTAAAAAGTTTAGCTGATTTAGCATACGCCTCTACTGACTGAATATGGACCTTAAACTGACTTTCAAATACTAGTACTTTAGAGACCGAAAGGATGATTCTCGGTTTGGAGAACGAAGTTCATCACTCTAATTGAGCGCTATCCCTGCTTCGGACAAATTTGATTTTTTACATAATATAGATTTGAATGTCTTCTTTTGAATAGACATAAATTAATTTGGGTAATATTTCTAGATTTTCCATAAAAAATTACTAGTGAACCACCCAACGTCGCTTCTATGATTCGTACCACTTTTTTAACTTGATGTATTGCATATTTTCGTGGGTCGATTTAAAAAAAATACAAACGACGTATACATGAATATGTCATAAGCATATCGTGAGATAATTGTTAGATTAGGTTTGCTATAAGTGACTTTAAAACAAAAAAGTAAAAAACATTAGTTCACGTGTTAAAGTTCCATTGACCGTGACATCAAGGAAAATTGAGCTTTTTGTCATCTAGTGGGATCAGTTAGGACAATAAAACCCTAGAATTGCACTTGCTATATATAAAGCACAATTTTTTGACAGAAGTATCATTGATACATATATATTTAATATCTAACGAAGTGGTATTGAAATGTGGCCCCAGTTAATAATAGCAGCCCTCGAAGATTTTGCACATTTACATTGAGCCCCATGTTAATTTATCAATCTTCTAAAGACCCCCTGCAGAACAGTTCTAGAGTAATAAAGCCCATATTCCCAGTATGTTACAATTATATGATTATCTTCAAAATAAGAAGGGTTAAATTTTTTCTTTTGCCTAGTTCAAAAGATATTGCCGTTTGAATTTTGGAAAATCTCCATTGGCTGCCATTATAAACTGTTATCAATATGGCTTTACTAAAGTGTCCTTTTCTCAAAAAGTTCACTATGGAATTTTCTAATATTGCAGATTTCTATAGTTAATACATTGAATTAATAAAAATCAAACAGACACATTTCTAAAAATTTCTTATTTTTGAAATATTTAGCCGTTAAGTTGTGCATGAAACTATTGAAAACCTGTATTGAGCCCCATGTTAATTCATCAATCTTCAAAAGACCTCCCGCAGAACAGTTCTAGAGTAAAGAAGCCCATATTCCTAGTATGTTACAATTATATGATTATTTTCAAAATATGAAGGGTATATATTTTCTTTTGCCTAGTTCAAAAGATATTGCCTTTTAAATTTTGGAAAATCTCCATTGGCTGCCATTATAAACCGCTATCAATATGGCTTTACTTAAGTGTCCTTTTCTCAAAAAGTCCACTATGGAATTTTCTAATATTGCAGATTTCTATAGTTAATAGTGTATCATTAAAAAATGTCAAACACACACATTTCTAAAAATTTCATGTTTTTGAAATATTTAGCTATTAAGTTACGCATGAAACTATAGAAAACCTGTATTGAGCCCCACGTTAATTCATCAATCTTCAAAAGACCATCTGCAGAACAGTTCTAGAGTAATAAAGCCCATATTCCTAGTATGTTA